TAGTTTGTCAATTAATAATTTCTTATGCTCCATATTATAAAAAAGTGCAATACTAATGGCAGGGTTAAACTACGAAACAGTGACTTGTGATGTGGAAATCATAGAGCACGGATACTGTAGTGCACCCGATGGTTGGAAGACAGACGCACCCCCCCCCCGCGTATGGTGGTAAATTGCTCGGGGCCGGTGGTGGATAACAGCCCTGCATCCAGTCCGAGCTAGTCCCAGTCCGGACGGTCGTCGCCGGGAGCTCTCAGGCGGGGCTTCCGCAGGGTGGCTCCAAGACGCGGCGGGCTCGGCGGCCAAGAGTGGAAACGCCCGGCAGCAGCCAACGCAGCGCGGGAGAGGAGCGCTCGAGTGCAAACCCTGAGAAAACTACGCGTTCCTGGAGCTACAAAAGGACATTTTGCCCGTCCGTTCCGCCCGACCAGCCAAGTTCTGTTCCTAACACTCGACTGATGATATATAAGAGCCACCACCCTATATTGCCGCATAATTGACTCGAATACACTACAGAGTCAAAAGTGCGGAGGAATGGAGAAAGAGCACAAACAAACAGAGGCGTTAACACTCGTTGAAAAGGGGAGGCTACGCTGCACCCAGTGAAGGTCAGTAATAATAATAATAATAATAATAATAATAATAATAATAATAATAATAGGTGTTTTGTTAGGTGTTAATCTGCTGTCGTTTTTAATGTGATTAAGAATTTTATTTTGAAATTGTTTTTGGATAAACAGATAATCTAATCTACAATCTAAACGAGCTGCTTTTTAAACAGTGACCAGTGATACTTAGTTGATGTGACACATTTTTAAAGCATGCAGCATCCCCCGGTGGGCCTGTGTGAGAGGCTGATTTACTAACAAATGAAATGTCTTCACAGAAATGGCCTATGCGATCCAGACTGTACGTCGGAGCAACCGGACAGTTCCTCAACACCACAAACACTTCAGAGTCAGAGAATCAAGGCCCTTCATCGTCCACCTCCCAGAAATAGGCTTAAATCATTTGTGTGAAGCGGTTTCATATTTTGCATGAGTCCATGCAGTTTGCTGTGGCGTAAGCCTCATGATTGTAGATCAATTAGCCTATCTGATTTTACTCCCACTAAAGCAATAGGAAGACATTGTAAATTAATATATTACGTGAATTTTATTGTATAGATTTTGAGAAAGCGTACATTGTGTTTCTCTGTTGTTGTTAACCCTGTTTGCTCTGCAGTGTGCAGTTCCATACATGTCCCAGGTATGATATTTGTAGAAATTCCGTGGGGCAATGAGCCCGTCATGCTTGAGGTGTGCACTTTGAGTTGAAACATTTGCACTAAACGCATGTGTGAATAACTTAACATCTGTCATGTGAAGTGGTCTGTCAGAGTCAACAATGGAGGCTCTTCATCTCATGTTCCTTCTTATTTTTTACATGCATGGCTGTAAATGTGTTTGTGAATAAATGACTTCAGAAAGAAGACGAGTCTCCTGAGCTTTTGCCGATAATAGAAAATAAAAAACACATAATAATTGAACGTCCTTAATCAAAGCGTAATTATTACTATAAGTATTATTAATATTGTGCTGTATTATTAAACATTGACATTTAAGATTGTTCTTATGATCATCGGACAGTCGTTTTTCTTTAACATTGAATCAAATAGGCCAAATACAGCTGTGGTGTTCGCTTGTAGGGTAAATAAAGAATTTAAGTTTAATATGTAACAAGACAGAATTTAATTGCAAATGTCTGCACCTGACCGGAGAGTATGGGCTGACTTTAGAGATCCAATGGGCTGCTCGATAATAAATATATTCAGCTTATGGTGTTTCAGCTGTGTTTATAGTGTAAACATGTTTAAGAACGCAAACAACAATTACCTATATTTGTACAGATTTAAGGTGTAAATATTAGGCAAATTACTCTCTTCACATTTAATATTTTAGTCATTTATCATTTGAGTGAAAGCAAAAGTTCCCTATTTCTAATTGACGCTCATTAAATCTCTGTATTTGCTTAACTTTGTTAGACTAATTGATCTGATAATTTGATGTAACTTCTTAAAATACTGATGAATAAATGGGCAAATCCCGACATTTTTTTAGATTAATCAAAGGACAATATGCTATAAGTTTATTCTAACCAGGTACACCCGTGCCAGTTTATCCGCAGTGAATTAAAGAATAATAAGATAATCTGAATTTCCACATTAGATCAATAACTCGGTACCAACTTGGTGCTTTAGTGTAATAAAATGCAGAGAATGTGTTCACTGGTGATGTGTCGATCTTAAATATCAGCCACTCAGATGAAGCTGGTGCTGATAACATAACGTTGCTCAGCTGTGAGCTTCAGGAGCTGCAGTGCGCAGCTTTGTGGCGCATTGAAAAGAGACCGGATCCGGAAACCCCTCCTCTTGTCTCTGAGACTCAACCGAGAGCAGACAGCAGACATTGCTCCTCCTCATCTCTGAAAATACTAAGAAGACTGCTTCATGGCAAATGTCCACTGCGAAGGTAGGCGATATAAAGGTGGATTGGTTTGCTCGTCGTGTTTCCACGTGGATTAACTCTTGAACACCGTCGCTTGTTAGCTTCCAGCTAGCTCGTAGCTCAGCCACGTGGACGAAAGGAGCGGAGCTTGACGTGTGATTTGTCTTCACAGTGGGCCAAACCACACGCAGGCTCACTTTTATTGATATTAAACATACAATATGACGCTCACGGACAGTGTAAGTTTGACTTTTCCAGTTCATGTCTGTCTGTTCGTCTCGACGCACATGTTGGCGTACCCACGTGGGTGCAGGGTTGCTGTCTATTTACTTCTTAAACCTGTATAAATGTTTAATATGCAAGGTGTTTCTTGCAGCCTGTAAGTTAAGCAGTCAAATTCTGATGTGCTATTAAAATGACCAATCGGTGACTTTAATGCAACGTCTTAAATTAAGTGTTTAAAGTACAGACTTGTGTCAGTAGACAGGTCTCATCCCTACAGTAGTGCAATAAATCATTCTTTAGACAGTTCAAGGGGGGTAATAACGCCCTCTTCGTCATTCTGACTATATGTGGCTCAGTCCAGGGTCAGCAGTAAAGCTGCTGGTCAGGGAATTGCCCTCTCCCATCATCTCACTGGGGAAAGTCATCATGGCAGAGGTCGTGACCTGCTGTTGAACCCGTCCTCAAACCTGCGATGTTAGCCATGCTCCCAAGCTGTGTTACACTGTACCCTTTGACCTTGTGGTGATCCGTCATCTGTCCTCACCATATTGGCTATTTCTTAACTACATCGTATTCATGCCGGCTTAAAATCAATAGATCACTCCTGAGGGTAATTATTGGAAACGTTTGGTTAAGTCACTGACTTCTACACATCTTGAGGGAAAATACTGCAATTTAAAGTACTGAAGTGAGACTGACCATGTATGTTTTTCCTTTTAGATATGCAGATGAAGATGGAACATTTGACCTATGATTGGTTCACCTGACAAGGTAAGAAGTAAATGTTTTATATTGCTGTTAAAACAAAATAGCAGGATTGGTTAAATAATAAAGTGCAATGTGTGTACTCGGTCTGATCCTTTTTCCTTTTAAATTTCAGATGTCAGGTCACCTCTGCATACTACAGATTGCCAAATATTGGTTTTCACCACGTGATCCTTAAGGTGAGCCTTTAGTATTAGAGAACCGTCTTTGTGGCGTGCTTCAGGATTATGTCAGTCCTGCTGCTGGAATAGTGATGACTTCACACTTTGCCGTTTACCCATCAGACAATAAGATGGTGAAACTGTGACTAACTGAATCACCAGTGTAATTGGATCCATCAGGACTGTTTTCCATGATGTGGATGATATTTCAATCCTCTTGTTTTTTTTTCCTCCCCCCTCAGTTGCATCAGATGTCGTGCTGTGGTCAGATGTACCGGATGTAATCGTCTCCTGTGCTGATCAGGAGGTGAGTTCCCTGCTATGGTAATTCTTGTTGTACTGCTGTATGTGGTGGTTTTCACCACGTGATCCGTAAGGTGAGCCTGTAGGATTATGTCAGTCCTGCTGCTGGAATAGTGATGACTTCACACTTTGCCGTTTACCCATCAGACAATAAGATGGTGA